TTCAGCTCTGGAGTGCTACAATGTGTCTGGACTCTTTTAAACAATGTCTGCACACAGTTTCGTTTGTGAGTAACTGGATTATTGCTAGTATAGTTGAGTATTTGATCTGTGTGCGTTGATTTTCTATAAACTTGTGTCTCTAAATCTCCTGTGTTGGTTCTCCTGATTAAGACATCTAAAAATGGGATTTTGTTATCTAATTCTTCGTCTCTCGTGAATTTGATGTCTTCAAATATGTTGTTTATTAATTTATGAGTATATTCTAAATCATTTCTCTTAATTATTACAAATGTATCATCAACGTAACGTATCCAGATTTTCGGTTTAATTATAGGTAGAGCTATTAATTCTAATCTTTGCATAACGGCTTCAGCTATTAATCCTGATATGGGCGATCCCATTGGTGTTCCTTTTATTTGTTCATATATTTGAGTATTGAACTGGAAGTATGTTGTAAGGCATAATTTTATGAGTTCTATCCAAGTTGATAATTGCGTTTTTGTGTTTTCATCACTATAGAGTAATTGTTGCATGGTTTGTATTGCTAGTTTTGGACTAATTGAAGTATATAATGCTGTGACATCAAAGGACACCATTATTTCATTGTCTTCTACTTGAAGTTGCATATAGTTATTACCTCTTCGGAACGTTGGACGCATTCCTAAGAATGTCAACTGATACTCCTGCCAAATTCTTTTGCTTTAGTATGCAACGAAACCGCTAGATTCAGCAAACAAATCTACTGACATCAGTGCCTTCCTCTGCTGCAATTGTATGTGTTGTCAGTTATGGCCTAATAAAATGCTCCTGGAAAACGCTAACTTCATCAAGCAGAGTGAGGATAAACGCTATCACGTCTTAAATTTACCTCGCTTCCGGTGCTCTTGTCTTTCATTGGCCAGAACAGCGGTGGTAAACTGGATTCCTGATGTTCCACAAGTGGCTACTATCGTGTATGGCTTAGTGTAGTTTTCTTATGCGTCATTCGCAAACAACTGTGAATATAAATTTAAAATTCGACTATTCAAACGTTGTTCAGTCGTTTTTTTACAAACGCAAGCCTATTTCTTTCTAATATCTCATTAGACTGGTTAGGCGTTTTGCTGGTTATCAGTGATAATGATTCCGTAGGTCCCAATGCATTTCTCGAGTTCACGTATGCGTGGTAGAACTTTAAATAAGCGAGTATTTCCTAAACTGCCAACATTGTGGACATTTTGCATTCACTGCGTTCCCGTTCAGGAGGGAAATTGCTGAATGAGAAAATATCGTCGTAGCGAGAAACTTTCATGGAATTTTAATATGGCGTATAAGTTTCTCTCGAACATTTTTGTCCCTCAGACTACTTACAAAGTATTGTCAAGCGTATTCTCGTAGTGTGATTCAATGACACAATTACTGGCAGTTAATGATATTTTTTGCATTATCAATGTGCTCCACACTTTCAAAAGAAGTGTAAACTATGATAATGAATTTATTTAATGCTTAAGCCATATATGATCATGCATGTTGACTGTGTTAATGGTTAATTTATGTGATTGAATTTAATCTGTATCACTTTCAGAAAAAGTCGAGTCGTATTGAGGTCTGTCAGTTAATTAAATTCAGCCGTAAGCAGACGTATTCGAATTCGGACAATAATATCCGAAATACACTAACGAGTGTTTTACGACTTATGACCAGATACACCTGCATAACCAGTTGTAGGAATTGATTCCACATCTATCAACAGGGGAAGGTGAGTTCACTTATGACCTTGCAGATATTTTTTACTCCAGTTAGTTATGCCGGATAACTTCCGTTGTGGGCATTCAGCCCTGCTTGCTTGGATTGTGGAAGTTTTAACTGTGACGCAATTTGGATACTGGGCAGTTTCCGTGAAATGATGGGGGATACTTCGTGAACAAAGACTTTCATCTTGGACTATGCTCGGCCTACATATATGTGAATGAACCTGTCTGCGTTGCAGTGAAATAAAATTTTCTATCTAATATTCTTGTGTTCTATTTGATCTGCATGCGGTGGGAGCATGGCATGCCGGACCGGTACTCTCTAGAATATGAACTCGTTACTATACTTAAATGTAATTCTGTGCGAATAATACCGATCAGTATAAGTGGTTAGTTATAAGTAATTTAGTCAAGCCTAGACAGATATCTGCCTAAAGTTACGTGATTACATCTCCAAGCCATAGGTAAATCTGTAGAGACCAATTTCAAAATAACCTAACCTCTGTATCTGAAAAATGAGAACAGAAATTAGGCACTGCGGTGAAGTTCAATTTCGTAAAGCGTGATTTCAATCCATATGATTACGGGTGTAAGCGTTTAATGCAAAATGAAGTCTTCATGAGACGAATAATTGAGCAGATGGAGCTGCAACAATCGTAGCAGTATTTCGCTTACATTGAATTATGTTACTAAATACCTTCGCAGGTCTCATTGATCAGTCAGGCCTCCATCTCGTCATGATGACAAATTCAGTTTCACTCAGATAGAATAAGAAAAGTATGGTAAGCAGGATGTTAAATATATTTGATGAAAAATAATAACAAGTAAATGTCTTTACACAATTGTTTGTCGTAATTATTTCGGCGATGTCGAATTGCTGTGACCAGGTTGATTGACGTTTCCGGACATCTGCAAATAAGTGAATAAAGTGTACTTTTTAAATCGCTGAAGTTAGAGAAAAGTAATGTAAAAGTTAAACGCTTTATATTTGCCTACCTTTGCTGAAAAAGGCTCATTCTCCTTTCTCATTCTTTGGTCATGACACCATTCTTCTGTGGTTTTCACTGTCACACGCATTGTTCATCTTCTAAAGTATAGCACCAAGCAAATAATAATAATTTAATATGTCGTATAAACGGGCGTTCACAAGGAATGCATATGAAGGACAAGCAAGCACGAGCTCTTATGAACTAGAGGGAATTACACTTCCATCAGTTCAGACTTACTTCGACTTAGGTGTCATAGTTAGCCACGACTTAAAAACTACAGCACACTGTCGCGCGGTGGCTGCACGTAGTTTCGGGTCATTATGGGCAATTCGTAGAGCCTTCACCAGAATCACCAGAGATATGTTCACCTCCTTATATACATCTCTGGTGAGGTCAAGACTGGAAAACTGCATCCAGGCCGCCAGCCCTTGTCTAAAAGGGGACTCACTTATTCTAGAAAGGGTTCAAAGGAAAGCAACACGTATGATTCATGGCATGACTAACTTATCATACGAGGAAAGACTAGACAGTTTAAATCTCTTCTCCTTGTCATACCGTAGGCAGAGAGGAGATTTATTCACAATGTTTAAAATTTTAAATAATGACTACGGACCTGACCTATTTTCTCTTTTCCTTCCCACCAGGTCGGAACACCTTAGAGGACATAGCCGGAGAGTTCAAAAGCCAAGAAGAAATCATATTGCTGTTGAGTACTGGTTCTCACACCGAGTCGTAAACTCTTGGAACCGACTCCCAGAAGAAGTGGTGTCTGCAACCTCAGTTGATTCGTTCAAGAAGGGTTTGGACAACCACAGAAATTTACTAGAAAAGGATTAACATAGGCTCCAAGCCTTCTATCCTCAACCAATAAATCTGAAATCTGAATCTGAAGGCAATATCACGCGTTAATACGACCACAATACAGGAAAATTTTGCTTTCTTCGGCCACAGAAGTCTAAAACTGCTTAATGATACCCATTTTTTGCAAAAGTAAACGCTTATAACACCTCAATAGATATGAACACGATAACCCATACAATGCGCGAAAATACATCGCGATAGCCCCAATCCTCACCTTGACAGCTTTATAGAATCTGAAATTACCGCGACTCAGACAACAAACTGACCAATCACAAGCGAATATTAGCTTGTTTATCTGTTCCGCGGGCACACGAGATTAGGGCTAAGGACCGACTGCTTCAGTCGACCGTTTGGTGTCTGGCGGCGTGTTCTTAACTGCAGTCCAATTATTTGTGTTGGTCTTCGTTGTGCCGTAGCATAGGTGAGTACTTTAGCGTGTATTTATCGTTTTTCGATGTGATTAACAAGTCTCTCAGGGTGACTCTAAACTTTAGGAACCCAAACGAACGAACGGACAAATAACCTTGACAAGGACAATTTTAACCCATCAGAAGGCTTAAAATGAACGGCGCATAATTTTAATAAATCGTTTATATACAAGTAAAGCAATGTTAAAAATAGTTACAAAGGATAGCGTTCTCGTATATGTTGCAAAAAAAGTCCCAATTAGACATAGGAGTCTTTAAAGTCATGTTAAACCAAGTCCTATACATAAACTCGTCGAGATAACTGTAAATCACTGGATTTCTTGATCCGTTCACCGATCTTATCCGTTTTTTGAGATGACTCCAGAAACTTTCAGTGGAATTAGTATGAGTTCCATTGAAAGGATTTATAAATCCCGTTGTATGGTTGACAACCTCATGAATATAGCTGAGATTTGATAATTGGCTGTAACTACTCCACTCATAGAGGTAAATGAGATTTCGAGAAAATGCATCTAAGGAATCTATAAACTAAAAAATAACTACATACCCTCTCGTACCCCTGCAACGGTAAACATAACCATCTATGGATTTCGTGTATCTTTGTATATGCATAACACCTCCGCACTGGCAAGTTTTAGATCTAGCTATCAGCCCGTTCTCTAAACAGTAATCAAAAACAAACTCTGGAGCGAATTTGCACCGCAAACGATGTACAGCATCCATTGCGAGTAAGATGATTGCCTGTTCAAGGTCATTTATCACGGTCATCCGTTCTCAAGGTTGTTTTGGGTTCCTAAAGTTTACAGTCACCTATTATTTTTTAGTGGTCCTTTTGCATCACTGTTTATATTTGTCAGATACCCTTAATTTGAGTTGCAAATTCACTAGAAGCATCTATCATTTCTTTTTCTAGATTCTGGTGGCGTCTGAATTTCTTCCGAAGGTACTTTTTACATCACAGTTGTTCACGTTATACGAACCGCGGATCGGCAATGGATTTTGGTGGGTTACCTATACGTTTTCACTTTCATTCAAAGATAGTCATATTCGTGTTTCCTTTTTGACTGTTCCCGGTTCTCATAAGTTCGTGAAATTAAGCGAGGAGGTCAAAATGTAACCTTGTTTGCTTGACACAGTATTAAGGGCTACAGTGTTCTCATCATTGTTACTAATCATGGGAGTTACGCGTCTCCTGAAATCTCTGATTTTATCCTCTCACGTTTCTGTGACTGTGGTAAATCCCAGCATTTTTAGATTTAGGTAGGTTGTTCCTGAACATATCCAGTGTGATTGTTCTGAAAACTTCATTCTTTGTCCAAATGCTGGTATTTACACTATTGTATTAGTCATCTGCCCAAGTATTTATCATGGAAGCTTCAAAAAGGGAAACTCCCATGATTTTCTTCGAGTGAGAAAATATTGCCGTGTGGATGGATTCATGACTATTTGTCGTAAGATTGTGTGGTAGAAATAAGTGTTTCCATCGTACCTAAATGGCTGCTGGGTTTTAGTTAGTTTCGTATGAATTAGTTTATTAATTGGTCTCAGGTGAGAAAATTACTGCATGACACCGCAGTACATAAAGACTGTCCAGCATGTGATTTAATCTCAGCATAACACTAAGCTTATCGAACAACGTAGTCTAAAGAGAAAGGCAATAGGATATTAACATCCGCTTCATATTTTGTTATAGATCTCGCCATTTTTACTCACTACTACATTTGTTCCATTTTCTTCTGATACAACTTGAGTAGATCTATTCATTCAGTTTTGTAGAAATTGGTTCTGCCAGTCCTGACGTAACAGAGTATGTATATATATATATATATATATATATATGCACCAAGTTACATAAACGGAAGATGAATCTCTAGATTAACACATGTTCGGCATTAAGGTTCCTATTTATTCATATATAGGGCTGTGATGTTTAAAAATTATCTCCCGGCTTCACTGCAGAGGATAATTGGTAATACCAGATGAGATTCTGTAGGCTAAACATTTCTCAAGTCTTGATCTTGTGAATATACTATGAGTAAAATTTCGTTCCCACTTGAAATGATTTCGGTAATTCTTATTTAATTTAGTGAAGCAAATTGTTGGTTGGCATGATCCCATCAAATCAGGAATTGTCGCGGCTGTTGGGTTGACAGCCCTTTTGAGTCTGTCATGCATGTCCCTAATATCTTTTATCGCCTACGCCGGGATGTCGTTAATATGCTGCACCACGGCTTCTAAGCTTTATAATGCTATTACTCTTCCATTTAAATCAAATTCATCTAAAGATCCATTTAAGTAAGTTTGATTCTGATGAAATTTTATCTCTTATATCTCTGGTTGTCCAATTATTTCTGTCGGAACACTATTACCTATGCAAGCATGTAAGCGACAATACATCCCAGCCTATTAAACACTACTATCGTACTAAATGAAGTTGTTTCATTACTGGTAACCCACATCTCACTTTTTGTGGCTCAAACATATAAGGTGAAATCAAACAAGTCTCTTCATAGTTGATCAGATACAATGTTTTCATTCATTGTGTTTAAAAATTAAGAGTGTTAATTTCTAGTGAAAAAAGTCCACCAGAAAAATGTTATACTTTTTAGCATTTGAAGTTGAGATATCTTCGGTAAACAAATGATTGTATAGTAAAGATTGTAGCTCGTTGGCTTGTGCACTCAACTTTCAGTCAATGGGTCTCGGATAGGAATCCCGTTGAATTTATTTAAGCCTAGACAACTCAGTTGTATTACTAGTTCTCACACAGTATGTAGCTTACAGTTTGGTACATAATTCTGTTGCAAGTAATGGAGTGCTAAATGTATCAAAATAGAATTCCTTGATTTGAATTAGTAGATATATACTATCAGTGTGTAACATTCTATTTTACTTACTATAAATCTACTTACGATAATTGCTGTTATATTAGAACTAACAGGATGTGAATGTCTATTTGCGTACCTGTCATTTTGTTCTTCTGCGAAATGTATAATACAGTAGCCGATGCAATATTCCCTACCATTAAGAAAATTCCAGTAATTTAGTACATTCCCTCACATTGTAGTTTTTCTATCTCTGTGTGACAGTTTTTCTTTCTATATTATCTGCTCTTTTAGATATTGGCTTGAATTGAAAATCACTTTGCCAGAAGAAAAGATTGCCGAGTGTGTCCCAGCTTTGTGTGAAAAGTTGTCCGAAAATTTGAATTATTTACGTCGCGTGATTTGGTTGCAAGACTACTTTGAGACTGCTAAGGTAAATGTAACAACAGTACTTCAGCAATTACCAATAATTGCCACTTTTCCTTTAGTAATTTAAGGAAGATGACCAAAATATGACATGCTAATTGTAGATTTATCTGTTAACTCCGTAATAATATCTCTTGTAAAAGAGTTGACAGGATTGTCTTTTTACCATCTGATAAGATGTAATTGCCTAGAGCTTCTTATGAAGCAATTTGTTTGATACATTGGCGTCAGCCAGCTATTTAATGCAGAATATTTTTGTTAAAAAAAGTTTCTCACGTACTTCAGCTTGAACAATTGAGTAATATCTCTAACCGTCACAGAATAAGCGTAACTGACAGCTAGATAACTGTTCTAACTGATGAGAAGAAGTTTTCTACTTAAAAAAAGTTATTTGTCATCTTCCCTATCGTCAAGAAATACCTTATCTACATTGTTTTATTAATTTCACTTGCAAATTTTCTTACTCTTATCTGTTTGTCATTGCTACTTTCCAGTTCGTTGTGTGTTTATACCTACTTTCGGTAGTAGGTTCTTGGTTTAATTTGCTCACCGTGATAACCATCGGTAAGTCTAGTGTTATCTGGTGTGTGAATTTAACCGCCGCTTCATATATATATATATATATATGTTTATATATATATGCATGAATATCATGATGAATGATCGATAGTTTAAATATACCATTGATGAAGTAATTAGTGAGTGTTTATGTGGGTGAAGTTTTCCATTGATTGTTGTTACATGATCTGCCTTAATGGATCAACGTCCAGGCATCTGACATGGTTGCCAATAACCAAAACGCCATTCGCTGCCTTCGAATCCAGGGAATCATGTTCACCATAGGTTTCGAGTAAGGTTTTTCTCCACGTAGTCACTATGTCAATCGGTCTGTTGATCATAAATTCAGGAAATCCGCCCTTTCACTTTCTTGAGAACAAACTTCACCGTCTGCAGTACAGTGACGAACTTAAGCGTTATTCAGCAGCTAAGTTATAAGGGAAACGAAGAGCGTGGAGGAATCGAGACACTTCAATGTCTCGCAAAGAAGCAGCCGATAACTTTATCGTTGACATTACCAAATGTTTTCCTAAGTTTAGTTTAAAATACAATATCCACTACTATTGATCATTAAGGAAACCTCAGTCATTGCGGTTTCTTAATATTTTTGACCTGCTTTAACTTCTGGCCACCAGTTAGTTAGTCAGTTTCACAGAGAACTGCTGACTGACTGCATAAGTATCACTTTATCGCTTGGTACCGGGCTTTATTTTAGTGTTTTTTTTACAATTAGTTATGGTGATCATCGTAATGATATTGTGCTCTACATAATGTGGTAGTTGCTTCATTATTCTATAGTAACTTCGTGCTAATGTTTCTGTAATGATCATTTTGTTTTTCAGGGTTTGTTCTCGGTATGACTTGTCCTAAATTATATTTATTATACAAGGTAAGAAACGTTTGCTTCCCTTTAGGCAATATAATACTTACGTAATTTGATTTAATTCAATTATTTTTTTATTTTCAAGTATTGGTTTGTAGGGATTCCGTTTGATTGGTTGGGGGATTTCATCTTGAGCATGACATCAGTTAGAGAACCATTGGAGAACCTAGGAGTACTGGACAGTTGTTTCGCCCTAGTTTGGGCCCCACAGCAGCACGTACCCACCGGGGTCCGAACCCAGGTCCTCCTGGTTACAAGGTCAGCGAGCTTGTAGACCATTAGGTAGCCACTAGGACCCGAACCAATGACCCTTAAATTCTAACTTCTGTCAATTCATGACATGGCGCGACCAATTCGCAATGTCTTCTTCGATGAGTTACTGCCTCACCTTCAACCTGCTGTACCCTGCTGGTCATGGCATCCCACTAGAATCCCAGGTAACTGCCTGAATAAGGCCAGTCGCTAGTAAGCAAAATGACGTCTTTTGGCTCACTGTTTATTGATCGGACCATTTAGTTGGTCGGTCTAAAATGAACTGCGACGACGAGTCGTCGTAAACGATGAGGTCTCGTCCAGAGATGTATTTTGCATTTCTTCTACAACTTCATCTGTAATCAAAGTTTATTTATGTCTCAACTGATAGTTTTGTTCCTCATGAATTAGTTTTATTTAATATTTCTAAATTTGTGTTATGATAGTAAGACTGAATTCCGAGTGCCATTGTAAGTAGTGCTCGAGAGCCTGAAAGACTATTGCTTGAGTGTTGAGCTTGTCGTGTAGTGCTGCATGTATCTGATAATTTCAGGTCGGTGTACTGATTAGCTTTTTTCTTTAAGCTGAAATATGCGGGATAGATTTTTCATTTAGCAGATTGATGATAGTAGCCAGTGAGTTATGCAGCACTGGAATCTGTGACCCATTAACTAGAAATCAAATGGTTAAACGATTGAACGACATCCCCACCATCTGTGTAATGGTGCATTCATACGATAGATATCTATTTAAAGTAATTTGAAATTAACTTATCAATTTCTCTTGTTTAGCCCCAGTTTGACGCAGCATTCCAAATGACTAAGAAGACAGTGATCAGTATGCTTGAATTGTAAGTGTAAAAATCTCACAGAAAGTCTTCTTTATTTTTGTTTCATCAGTCTACCCTGAGTTACATACTATCTGCTTTGTCAAGCTTAATAAGACTGACAACTTCATCAGTCTTGACCACCTTGTATAATCTAACGGAAAATATGTCTTCTATTTGAAGAATGTTATTTATCAGTCTGATAGTGAACAAATCGATTGATTTGAGATTTTCTTGCTGAGTCATTTTACATGATGATATTTAAATCAAATAAAAGAGGACTAGTCCTACAACAAACATTATTATTATTATGATTGTGATTATTATTAGCAGTTAGTACTTATTTAACATTATATTCTTAGGAGGACATTTTCGATAAGTTGACAGCGTAGCAGGAGAAAGTGCCTTATATGTAATTCATTAACTGTTTGCACAAAATGTAAGGATAATAGGTGATTAGCACAAGGATACCTGCATACATTGGGAAGATTCAGTATATTGGACCACGACGACCTTCCATATCGAAGCAAGATAACCGACATAGTTTCATGATCTCTACACTTTGTATTATCCGCTTCATATGATTATAATATTTTGATATACTAAACAGCATAGTGATCTTTTATTATTTCAGCGCTGAAGCGAAACTACCGCGGCTTCGTAGGAAGTCTCACCTGTGATCAAGCCTACCTCATCAGGAGGAGATACATTACATTCTATGTACAATTTGCTTCCTTCCCTGATCTCCTGTTCCTCTTTCGAAACCGATGAGCACTCATCATATCAGATAGACAGTGTTGATATTAGAATGGCCGTTTATCAACGAATGTTTCATGACAATTCCGCTTCTTCTTCTCCGTCTTCCCTTACTTCTTCTTCTCCTTCGTCTTCTTCTTCTGCTCCTCCTCTTCACATGTATTCCCTTTTGATGAGAGAGATATGTAAAATTGTGTTCAATAAAGCGATTGCAATTGCCATGGAATATTGCCTTCTGACGCGTCTTTCTAGTGTTATGAGTTGTGACCGTTGATTGTTGAAATAGAGAGGAATTCAGTGGGAGTGATTCTGTGGGTGATTCGCATACTTCGATGTTAGTGTGATGAAAGGAAGATGTTTGAAATGATTCCACTTGGAGACTGCTATTAGGTGGTAGACTGACTTGTACCCTGAGGATCGTGAACCTCGGAATTCGTAATTTTTGCCTGCGTTGTCAGTGTTAGGCTAATGACAGTAAGTAGATGGTGATTTCACTCTGAATGCGTTTCACAGCGAACCTCGGACAAATGTGTGCATAGTTTTCCTCTTTATTTCGCAAATGATATTGCACAGTCTACTAGCAAATAATGAATATTCACATAGTAAAATTTAGAACAACACATTCAAGCGAATAATATTGTTTTCAATTAGATGTCATCAGGCTCAACTCTAATATACATAACTTTACAAATAAAAATTCAAATATAAACTCATCATGGTGTTTTGTCTGTGGGGTAATAAGATAGCGAATATAAATTGTGTAATTAGTCATATAAGTAATAATGGTTCTATCAATAATAAGAATGAAAAAGTGAGGCGATCTGTGATAGCACGAATAACGAAAAACATCATCATGATTAAAGAAACAAATGTTCAGGTAGAAGTAGTCGGTAAAGGCTGAGGAAAACGAATGAACCGATTAAGTAGTTCTAGATTGTAGGGGAAGTAAATAGAATATGTTTCAGTGAAGATGTGGTAAGATTAAGGGATGACAAGAGAGGAGGGGTTGAAAATACAAGTAAGGGGTGGTGGAGAAGTTATCAGTCAGTCGGTTAGGTCTCAACAGGCCAAGTGAGGGATAGCGGCTTTTCGAACTTCTTTTGAATGCATAGTTTAGGTGTAATAGTTGGAATGCCTATCGCCTCTCATTTTCACGACTACCTGACGCAGTGAATTCCACCCGGAATTCATGTGAATTGAACAGTGGTAAGACGTGAAGAAGCACCAGTCAGATGTCTTCTCACTTTAAATGTCTCCTCTGAGGAGGTTTCAGGAATTCGAACAGACGAGCCTACACGATTGCAGACAGTGGATTCATATTTGGTTTGTTCAGTCCTGAAGCGCTAGCGTAGCACCAACTGTTTCACAACTAACAAATGACTAAAGCTATTACAGAGTGTGCCACAATTCCATATTAATTAGTTTGTTGGCTATGTCACACAGTGCAGTAGTAGTAAATACTGATTGATGATTCGAATAAAATGTATTGTTCATCATGATTTCAATTGGGACTACACAAATCCGAAACTTGATATCTGTAGTTTCCTACTACGCTTATAACCAATATAAAAGAAGAGCTAGAAGTGTGTGCAGACCGATTTACATACAACGCAATTCACTCCACTTTTCTCAAGACTTCACAAACTTGTTTGCATTGATATTGCCGAGTGGAATTGGATGTGCAGCACATAATGCTTAGTATGCGTGTGTTGTTCAAAACTGAATTTGACAGGCTGGTTTCACTACTCTGATGTGATGTTTAGACGTAAATTATGGTGGGAGTCGAAGATATACTCTTCAGGTTACTTTCATTTAGTTGCTCTGATTGTTCACACAGAGACTGACTATGTTTGAACATCACAATGTGTAGATGTCTACATCGGTAGCTTGGAATTTATTGGTGTGAAATCTGCTACTTCTACTAAGCCATTCGCTGCATCGTTTCATGATACACAATGTTGATTTATTGCATTCTAGTCATTCTATCTATTATACAGTATACGTTCTCTCCGACAATACATACGAATGAATGAGCAAGCTGAAGTATCTCTGTTTGATGGGAATTCAATCAACTAATATTGGTTTCTCATTTGGTCTAGAGATATTGACTTCTGGGTGATCTTTCATTTGTCTAGTGGTAGGTATTCTTTTCAACCCTTCCAGCATCGTTACTAAATGACAAAAAGACATTCCTTTCATCGATTAGTACTTTCTTCATACATGAGGTCTAACAAAACTCAATATATACCTGCATCCTCATTATTTGACTAAAACTGTCTGCGTGGTTATTATTATATAATGGTGCAGTAGTCTCTGTGGACATGATTTACTAGGCATTCTTGACACGACGACAGTGACTAAATATTTCCGTCATCATCATCAAAATATGTTATTATATATACATATGTATGAACAGAATTTGGGGACTAATCTTATTAACCCACTGCATTAATTCGCCCGAAACCCATTTTCCTTCGACTTAACAAAGAAATTAAAAGGCCCATTACATGTCACGATGATGGCAAGTGAAGCAACGATGGCGGCCTTCTTGATGATGAGCCGCCTCGCCTACTTCGACACTGTGCTTGACACTAACTGTCTCCACCTCTTCCTTATCTAAGCTGTCATGAAATGGACAGACAACTTGACTGAAACTATCATTTCTCACTGAGTTAATTAATTAGTAAATTAACTCGTGTGACATTTCACGTTGCTGTAAAATCATAACTGTGGCATATTTTCCAAAATCTTAAGTGTGATTACTTTAATTACTTGTTGTTGTTGTTTCCAAAATTTAGGTCAATTAGTCAGTCAGTCAGTAAGTCAATCAGTTCACATAACTGTCTGTGACCTATTGACCTAATCGCCTAAATTTTACAATGACATTTTGAAAAAAGAGTTTTCCAGGGTTGACGAAGAAACTGCTAGTTTCTAGGTTTACTCATGCGTGAATAGATAAGGAAGTAAATTTCTACTTTGGATAGGTGATTAGTATTCACTTGAACTGAATTACTCAGTTGTTGTCATGCGATATTTGAGTTATTTCGTCTATGATGACACCTGAACTGGAAAAAGAAACTCGGTTTTATTGTCTAGATACTCTGGCTTTATTTTTAGATTACTTGATAATATTTTTCACCACAAAATATAGAACAAACTGAAGTCAATTAATTCTTACTACTCCACATGAGACTGAATAGAGTAGGTTTAATATTCAATACACACACACACACACACTAGTCCATAGATGGGAGTTGTATTGTATGCCTTGAAAAATGAGTCAGCTCCTTACTACTCAGATTCTTTCGTCAAGTGAATCCTGTAGTGTGTACTGAAGTGAGCCAGTTTAAGGCATAGGGTGTTGAAATCGTCGGGAAAATAAATTCCTGAGGAAACTGACTTAGGAGAGATGATATTTTCGAATGAAATAACGATAACAACAAAATTACCACTAATATTATTACTATTCAAGTGTTTTCTAGGGATTTGATTTGTCGCGTGTGTCAGATCACGAGCTGACACCAGTTAGAGAACTGTTGGAATTTAGGGAGTACTCGACAGCTGTTTCATCCTAGACTGTCACTTGTCATCAGTATCCACACACAACACCATCGAATATTTATTAGGCGAAGCAATTCGATGATTTCTTTCCTTTCCACAATCCCTTAACTATAATTCTCATGTTTTAGTAGACCAGGTAGCATGATCATCTTTTATTATTTCAGGGGTGAAGTGACAGTTCAAGGGCTTCATGGATCGCCACATAGCAAATTAGGCTTTCTACGTAGGATGGACTCGGATGCTATGAAAAATATGGTATCATGGAAAGCACGACTTTCATTCTTGCGTTTGCTTCCTTCGTTGTCCTCCTGTTCATCTTTCGAAACCGTTGAGCACTCATCATATCAGATAAACAGTGTTGATATTAGAATGGCTGTTTATCAACGAATGTTTCATGACAATTCCGCTTCTTCTTCTCCGTCTTCCCTTACTTCTTCTTCTCCTTCGTCTTCTTCTTCTGCTCCTCCTCTTCACATGTATTCCCTTTTGATGAGAGAGATATGTAAAATTGTGTTCAATAAAGCGATTGCAATTGCCATGGAATATTGCCTTCTGACGCGTCTTTCTAGTGTTATGAGTTGTGACCGTTGATTGTTGAAATAGAGAGGAATTCAGTGGGAGTGATTCTGTGGGTGATTCGCATACTTCGATGTTAGTGTGATGAAAGGAAGATGTTTGAAATGATTCCACTTGGAGACTGCTATTAGGTGGTAGACTGACTTGTACCCTGAGGATCGTGAACCTCGGAATTCGTAATTTTTGCCTGCGTTGTCAGTGTTAGGCTAATGACAGTAAGTAGGTGGTGATTTCACTCTGAATGCGTTTCACAGCGAACCTCGGACAAATGTGTGCATAGTTTTCCTCTTTATTTCGCAAATGATATTGCACAGTCTACTAGCAAATAATGAATATTCACATAGTAAAATTTAGAACAACACATTCAAGCGAATAATATTGTTTTCAATTCGATGTCATCAGGCTCAACTCTAATATACATAACTTTACAAATAAAAATTCAAATATAAACTCATCATGGTGTTTTGTCTGTGGGGTAATAAGATAGCGAATATAAATTGTGTAATTAGTCATATAAGTAATAATGGTTCTATCAATAATAAGAATGAAAAAGTGAGGCGATCTGTGATAGCACGAATAACGAAAAACATCATCATGATTAAAGAAACAAATGTTCAGGTAGAAGTAGTCGGTAAAGGCTGAGGAAAACGAATGAACCGATTAAGTAGTTCTAGATTGTAGGGGAAGTAAATAGAATATGTTTCAGTGAAGATGTGGTAAGATTAAGGGATGACAAGAGAGGAGGGGTTGAAAATACAAGTAAGGGGTGGTGGAGAAGTTATCAGTCAGTCGGTTAGGTCTCAACAGGCCAAGTGAGGGATAGCGGCTTTTCGAACTTCTTTTGAATGCATAGTTTAGGTGTAATAGTTGGAATGCCTATCGCCTCTCATTTTCACGACTACCTGACGCAGTGAATTCCACCCGGAATTCATGTGAATGATAAAATGTACTCATCACTGCAAATACAACCTGATACCCATCAGTGATCAACAACCAGATGGATTTTCAGAATATCCGAGTGAAATGACGACATTTGAAATAATAAATGCATGCATTAGAACAGATAAGTGAAGGTGACGGTCGATGTA